CATACGATACAAACGAAATGAGAAAATGTACAACTTCCATAAATGACTCTATTCATAGAATTGCTAGAGATGCCTATGTTCTTGATTCTCCACGTGTCCTATTATTTTATCATCTGTTCATGGGTCTCAGAAAATACGTAAGTTGATAAAGTTTACTTCATGATATTAATCAAATGTATAATGGTATTATTACACTCCGAAAGATTTTATTGACGTACTTCTCATGCATTGCATTCATTTACATTGACTCATGATCAAATGACGTTATATACGCGTATATATATATGGGAAAAGGTTACGACATTATGTACGCACTACCACCTGACCAGCTGGTATACGTTGATGATTTTGCCCACAGCGGCCGAGATGATATGATGGAATGCCCTCGGAGGCTTGATGATGTTATGAACACATGTACCTATGCAGGACATGACATTCATACGCATATGCATGACACTATAAGTATTTCATGATTTACAGAGTAATCCTGACTTACAGGTTAAATCATTTACTCCATGTTTCTTCCATGTCTTTTATCTATTTATTTATGTGCCTTACATACTCGGTACATTATTCGTACTGACGTTTTTTGTTGGGGATGCTGCATTCATGCTTGCAGGTATAGAAAATTAGTTTGACGAGCCCTCATAGTAGACGAGGTTAGCATTAACGAAGGATCGGTAAGACTCCACCTCTTTCGGAGTGCAGCCGAGTCTTTGAGTCATCATGTCAGAATTTTGCTACAGACTTATGGGTAGGCCGGTACCCTGTCCCATTTGATGTAAAATACTCTTAGAGGCTTTGTAGACTAAGGTTCATTTTGTACATTATGTCAGAGGATTTAACGGCCCATATGTATTCATGTTTTAAGAAAGATGGTTCATTAATACAAGATTTTCCACTTATAGTTATACATTACAAGTTGTGGCCATGTTAGCCCAGTTACCAATGACTGTATGATAAGAAAGATATGTTACATTGGTACTCGGTTGAGTAAGGCACAGGTACCCGTCATGACCCTTCAGTTTGGGTCGTGACAATCGAGGGCTAAGCTTTCCTTTCTTACCGAATCTCATAACGCCTTTCATCAGTGATACCTTTAAGAATACCCAATCATACCTGAAACTCCAAGTCTCATTGTCGATTATTTGCATAGGACTTTTGACGACTCCTCAATCCATGTGGTAAAAATCCTCTCAAAAATCGCCCAAAAATAAGCTCCCCAACTCAAAATGTGAATAAATGAACAAACCCTCCAAATATATGGAACCTGCCCAAGGCACTTTCGCATCTACGAACCAGTAGCCGCTTCTGAAGAAAAATCACTTAATGCATGACCACTCGCACCTGCAGACCAAGTTCCGCTTCTGCGACATTGCAGGTGAGAGGCTTTCTTGCTTATGTGGAAAACCAAACCAAGATTCCATTCCGCTCCTATGCAACACTTTCTGTTTCTGCGCTCCCATAGATGCGCTTCACATTCCGCATCTGCGATGTTCTCCCTAGCCTAGCCTTTCGCTTCTGCGTCAAACAACCGCATCTGTGCCCTCGCAAATGCATCCCCTACACTGCATCTGCAGACACAACCCATCTCTTCTTCGTAGGTGCGTCCATGACCTTGTTTCTATGACCACCGCACCTGCGTAAAACCAATCGCAGGTGCGCATCATGACTACCAATAGCAACCAACAACCACACATAAAGGGAAAATGGTCCGAAACTCACCCAAGCCCCTCGGGACCCCATTCGAACATACCAACAAGTTTCAAAACATAACATGGACCTACTCACAGGCTCAAATCACATATAACAACATCAAAACCATGAATCATACCTCAAATCAAACTTGATGAACTTTTGAACTTTCAACTTCAAAACTCGTGCCGAATCATATCAAAATCAACTCGGAATGATATCAAATTTTGTACACAAGTTCCAAAAGTCATAACGATCCTATTTCAACTCGCGAAACTAGAATCTAAACATGATATCATCAAATCCAACTCCCGGTCAAACTTATGAACTTTCCCAAAGCTTCAAATTGCCAACTTTCGTCAAATAGTACCGAAACCTTCTAGGAACATCCAAATGCAAATCTGGGCATACGCCTAAGTTCAAAATTACCATCCGAACTTAACGGAACCATCAAAACTCTGATCTGAGGTCAAATACATAAAAGTCAAACTTGGCCAACTCTTCCAACTTAAAACTTCATATTTTTGAATCATTCTTCCAAATAAAAATCGCATCACATGAAAACTAGAACCGGCAATACACACAAGTCCTAATATGATGTAAAATAAGAATCTATGTTAAATGTTATTAATTTTGGCCAAGATCATGTTTTAGAGCTCAAGTCCATATGGACTTATTTTCAAGAAACGCAAGAAATCCAAGAAGCTCAAGATTGATTTCAAGAAGTCGAGATTTTTTCCTTCTTAAAATAGGATTATTTTATTCAGAAAAAAGTCTTTGAATGTTGGTATTACTATGGAAGAGCACAGGGAGGAGGAACATGCACTAGATCCATAAGTTGAGGATTTACCTTCGAAGTTTGATGATGATCCGTTGGAGCATCCCATATGTGAGCTTAACTTTTTACCTAATAGAGATGCTCAACATAATACTGATTTGATTGTTGATTTTATCATTCCAAACGAGGCAACAAATTGCATTAATCCAGAAGTCCATGAAACTTTATAAATACGAGAGGAAGGATTGCTTAAAAAAGAGTCCATAGTGGAGGGTTTTAGTTCATATTTTGTTCCAGCTTTTTTCTTGCCCCCAAAGGATGAATATTTTCAAGAATATGTAGGAATAGTTCTCAACACAAATTCCATCTATGGTTATGATCTAGTTAAATATGAGAGCATTGTTGCTGATGAGTTCTCGAGAAGATATACTTCGATCTTCAAGCTTGATCCAAAGGTACTTGAATTTGATTCTTTTACAGGGTTTTGTGGTACTAAATCGACTTTTTTGGACATGTCCCATAAGCAACACATTGACATAGAGAAGTTTAAGATTCTTGAAGATAAAAATAAAATAACTTATGATTATGAATTAGTGTTTAAAAACCAATTTAAGAGGATTCATTACAAAAATATTGGTACAAAGTTACTATTGAGAAAATGGGATTTAGTTCGGCCACATGCTAAACTTTGTTACAATACAATGAAGCTCTTTGACAAGTTAGAAAAATACAACTTAGAGCCTGGTGAATATGAGTCCAACCAAATTATGGAAGTTGTCAATCTTGTGCCATTTGTGGAGCCTTTAGATTCGAGGACGAGTCTTTCTCAACCAGGGAAGAATGATGTAAAAGAAGAATCTATGTTAAGTTTTACTAATTTTGGCCAAGATAATGTTTTAGAGCTCAAGTCCAAAGATATGGACTTATTTTCAAGAAGTGCAAGAAGTCCAAGAAGCTCAAGATTGATTTCAAGAAGCCACACTTTCCTTCTTAAAATAGGATTTATATTATTCTTTTTAGAATAAGGATTTTCCTTTTAGTAGGATTCTAGTTTCTTTTCCTTGTAGAATAGAGATTTTACTTTTCTTGTCTTTAGTTATTTTATTTCCTTATTAGAATAGGAATTGTAGTTATCAAATAAGAGACTCTAGGCCTATATAAAGGGTTCTCTTGCCTTGTAAAATGCAATTCACGTTTTTGAGGATTGCCCTAGTTTTACAAAAGAGTATATTTCTCTATTTTGTCTTTTTTTATCCTTGTTTTTGGTTCCAAACAAGGTGATGATAGTCTTTATCTTGTTTTCAATTGCGTGTGGTGTTTATTCATCACGATTGCCAAAGAGGAGCAATATCCACTTTGGGGGAACGAATCTGCCTCATAGGATGTCGTCCGTCTTTCAACCAGGACTATGTGCGAATATCGCCAGAATTTGATCCTTTGCCTAATTGACCCGCCAAAGGGAACTTATAAAAATAGTAAGTGTGCGCCATACCTACTCTAATTGATTCCAAGTGGTGACTTTAGGAACTTGTTTAGTTCTTGATCTTTTAAGAACACGTTTCTTGATCTAAATTCGTTGTTTTGATATCATAGAATCATAACTTTCATTGAACTGGTGCAATATCAATATTTACTTATTTCGAACGAGTAAATAGTCTTTCTTATAGTTCAGATCGTCATTTTCACCTTGTTTTTTGAATCATCAGATTCTGAGTCCTAAAACTTGAGATACGTTGTTTCTTGAAATTGGCCCACAAACACATGTTTTCGTTTCAAGATCTTAATCCTGGTCGGTTGGTTCTTTATTAACTCGAAGAATCACATCATAATACATCATACAGAGCTACTCATGTCCTCGAACCATCGAACGGAATGCAAATGCTCAAAATGACCGATCGGGTCATTATAGTCATGTCAAAGAAATCCAGACCTTGTACTATCGATGCTCCAAATATCAAAGTTGAATTACCAATTACCATAAAAAATTCAATGATCATTTTACCCTTAGATACTCCTATCAATATAGAAAAATATAGTTAAAAATTTATATTGGATTATAAAGTTTGCTCTAAAATTATCATGAACTTATTATGGTTCTTGGTTGTCTACGAGTTTCTTCCTTTATTTAGCTAGCTAAATCGTATCGACATTAATCAATTTCATAAACTTACACTTTTGTATACAATTTTTATTTTATAATGTAAACATAGTGTTTATTACCCCTATGTTTCAAATTAGATGATGTACTTTTTTTTTAGTCAGTTCCAAAATAAATGACATACTTCTAAATTGAGAAATAATTAAATTTTAAACTCTTCGTTTTACTTGTTTATTATCCTTAATGAGAAGTTTTTATAATCACACAAATGCCATGGCCTCACAAAACTTTTATCCGTTAAGATTTTAAGACCGCAAGTTTCAAAAGTATTTTATTTTTAAACTACCTCATCTAAATTGGAATGAAATTATACTTTTGAAATTTGAGTTACTCGTTTATGGGGTATTCACGCAACGCCACACTCAGGGCTGAATGCAAATAATTTTTGGCTGAAATGCCAAATGTGCAACTTAACTTAGAGGACACACTCAGAAGTCAGACTGAACAATTCTGTAATCCAGGCACGCACGTTCTGGGAAAAGGATGGGAAGTCTTTTTGGTGCTTCTCACCTTCTAAAGCTAAGTCGATCCACCACTCTTCTCTCAGCTCCGTTCTTCAAAAACCGGATTTCTCACTCCCAATTACCTAATTACTCAAAGACGACGACGTTTCTTACTCTTCGAACTTTCGCAACCATGGCCTCCGGCGCCGATGAATTCGTCAAAGGACATGTCCACCCTAACGGCGTCGCTGTTATCACGCTCGATCGTCCTAAAGATCTCAATGCAATGAATTTAGGTGAACTTTCGATTCTTATACTTCTCTGTATGTAATGTGGAATTGTGGATCCTAGCCGGATAATATTTGTTCAGTTTTTCTTAGTCCTATCAGTTCATTTTTGCAAATTGTTCGTGTCTTTTTTCTGGTTTTAGTGCTAAGAAGTCAAACATTAGGATCAGATGCCAAATGTTTGACTTTGAGGTGCATGAGTCGGCAACTTAATGGAGTTTGTTAGTTTTTTTAATTATAGCCTGAAAAAAAAAAGCTTGTCCAGTAAATCATTTGGCATTTGTTGAATCACTATCTATGGTTATTTGCTTATCTAATTTTTCCTTATAAAAAATACCTGAAGTAATAAATTACAAGCTATGATCAGGATACAAGTTCGTGTAAGCCATATTTCAGAAGCTGTGGCCTTATTCAACTAAACTGTCTAATGAGCAGTCGTAACCTATCAAAGAATATGTTCTAAAGATGACGCGGTTATAATCATGACTCGTGTACTACAACTGCATCGATTATGATTTTAATACTAGAACGATATTGAACCTATGGAAACAGGAGAAAGTATTGTAGTTTAATTTCTTAGGGAGCAAGAACAAGATGACTCACTCCAAAATCAGAAATGAACATATTAAGAAACCTGTTTTAGGCCTTTAGTTTGTCCCAATGATATTTACTTCATTTAACTGATTGGACAATAAGATGTGCTTTGAATTCTTTCCTAAATGAACTTTGGCTACACCTTTTCTTTCTCAACAATCCCCTCCAAGAGTACTATGTTGTGATATCATCAATCAATGTTAGTGTTATTAGCATTATCATTTGCTGAATTTGATCTTTGTTGCATTCATATTTCATTCAAATATGATGCAGATATGGATATCAAATACAAGAGTTTCATGGATGAATGGGAAACAGACCCAAAGGTGAAGTGTGTTTTGGTCGACAGTAGCTCCCCCCGTGCCTTTTCAGCAGGTAACTTTCTTTCTATTATTTACGTGATGGGTGGTGCATGTTATTTGCGGATGACATAGTATTGATCGACGAGATGCATTGCGATGTTAACGCTAGGACCAAGGTTGGAGGTTTGGAGATAGACCCTGAAGTCTAAAAGTTTCAAGTTGAGCAGGACTAAAACTGAATACTTGGAGTGCAAGTTCAGCAAGGTGACTCATGAAGCGGACGGGGAAGTGAGGCTTGATACACAAGTCATTCCCAAGAGAGGGAGTTTCAAGTGCCTTGGGTCAATAATCCAAGGTAAGGGAGATTGACAAAGATGTCACACATCGTATTGGAGCAGAGTGGATGAAATGGAGGCTCGCTTTCGGGGTTTTGTGTGATAAGAATGTACTACCAAAACTTAAAGGTAAGTTCTACTGAGTGGTGGTTAGACTGACTATGTTGTATGGGACGGAGTGTTGGCCTATCAAGCACTCCCATGTCCAGAAGATGAAAGTAGCAGAAATGAGGATGTTGAGATGGATGTGTGGGCATACCAGGAGAGATAAGATTAGGAATGAAGATATTCGCGACAAGGTGGGAGTAGCCCCGTGGAGGATAAGATGCGGGAAGTAAGGCTGAGATGGTACGGGCATGTGAAGAGGAGATGCATAGATGCACTGGGAGGAGGTGTGAGAGGTTGACCATGACAGGCTGATGAGAGGTAAAGGTAGGCCTAAGAAGTATTGGATAGTGGTGATAACTAATATGGAAGGACATAGCAGCTTCAGCTTACTGAGAACGTGACGCTTGATAAGAGGGTGTGGAAGTCGAGAATTAGGATAGAAGGTTAGTAGGTAGCAGTGCGTGTTTTTCTTTCGTGCGGGTAGTTTTGGTATTAGTCTTGTTTTCTTGTATTTTCTTATCTGCACATTTTTTATTGTATTTTATTTATCTTCTCTTGATGTTGTTATTGTTTTGTTGTTTCGGCTTCTTTTTCAACTCTCCTTAAGCCGAAGGTCTATCATAGACAACCTCTTCACCTTCACAAAGTAGGGGTAAGGTCTGCGTACACACTACCCTCCTACCCCACTTTGTGGGATTACACTGGGTTTGTTGTTGTTGTACTTGCTGGACCTCTATTTGGTATTTTTGCACCACCTAGTTCTTAAAGTGGTTTTGATATTTTATCGTTATTCATTATGTTAGAGCCTAACACATTAAGTGACATAGTATCCCCTATGCTTCTAAGATTTGAGGATGACCATTCATTGCCAATGCAGGATTGAATATTAAGGGGGTTGTCGCTGAAGTTTGAAAGGACAAAAGTGCACTTTTGTGCAAAAGGCATTCTTTTATTACATCACTAGTAAATTACACCGCGCTTCGCGCAGTTATAAAGAACTTATTAAATTTATGAGCTTTTATTTCATCATTATATTGAAAAACATATTTTAATGATTCTTTTTAAAATAATGGATTTCAAGTTTTAATCCATCTTATTATTGACACCTGTAGTATTTTGCATTAACTCTTCATGACAAAAGACATGGTTCTTAGGAAATTAGTATGTCAATCCAAAAGGAAGAGAAGGCTACTTAAATTAGCACCATCAAAATATTACCTATTGTTCTTATTTTGTAGTAATGTTCTTTTATTATTTTATTCCCCATAGTGGCAACATTATACATTTATCGAAAAGTTGTATGAATATTTGTCTGCAGTATACCCATTACTTTTATGTTTAAGTGTTATTTTATTGTTTCATTCTCTATTGTAGTACATTTATATTTTAGGAATGTGTTTTTGTCTGCCAGATTTATTTTTTATAAATTGTATATTCATCAATGTCGGGACTTTTTCTCCTATTTAAGGTCTATATGTAATCAAGTTATTCTATACATGTAGCTTAAGGCATTTGTTTCTACCAAAGAAATGAAAAAGTAGCAATCACTATAGCACTGTATGCTTCTTTCGTGGTTTGTGCAATCATTCGTGTAATTATTCTGATTAGAAAATAGGAGCACTACCATCACATATCTGTCTTTCTGCAAGGAAAAGAGAGTAAATTAATATCTAAATTTGTCATCTGATTCCACAACAAACAACATTACCATTCCAAATATGACATGAAAAACATAACTTTGGGGGAAAAATCTTTATGACAAAATATGAATTTATATCGGCAAAATGGAGGAATGTCATAAAGTGTCATTAACTTATAAATTAAAATTTAACAGTTTGAGAGTTATGGATAAGGAAGTTGAAGAGGTGAGTTATGTAGCGGTACCTTTGATGTGTATACATATATATATATATATGAGTTTGTTGGCAGAATTCAAATGGTACAACATTACCATATATTAATAATGGTTAACTATAAGTAACGGAAGAAATAATAGAGACAATGAGTTACTTTCGCAACGGTTTGGAAACAAAACGATTTATGGCGAAGAGAAACCAAAATAACACATTAGAACATGACTTTTGGACTTTCTATTAATTTAATTAATAGAATAAATGAAAAATGAGTAAGAAAAGGTAAAAAAAGGAGAAAAAAGATAAATATAGTCCTTGGCTTTAGAGAGGTGCCACATCACTTTTCTAAGTCCCTCCTTTATATATATATATATAGATTATATTTTCCCTACAAGTGTCAGTTCGGCGTATCATGTTATCTTGTACCTTTTGTTGTGTCAAAGCTGGTATCTTCCACAGTGTAGTTCAGAGTTTGCTGTCTGTAGTTTCGTTTGCTTACAGTCTTAATTAGTTGATGCTAATATGATGATGGATAACAAAAGTCCTAGTGTTTTACCTGCAGGTGGTGATATTAAGCAGATTGCAACCAAAAAACATCAGTCAGATATGATTGAGGTTTGTAGTCTCCTTCGAAACATGATTAATTCAAGACTTGCTCTACTCAGCTAAAGAAATCCCAGACTCACAGCAGACTGCACTAGCAGTAGAACAAACACTATGAATGTTGCAAACTTTGCAGACTACCGGCACATGTTGCTAGTTTAGGTCCCAATATGTATCAAAAGAGCCATTGTGTTATCTGCAATTATCAGTTCTGTACACAAAAGTACAGGCAGGCCTTTTAGTCTGTGATGAAAGAAGGAATTAATTAATTGTGTGGGGCCTAAGAAACAACAACAAACCCAGTGTAATCCCACAAAGTGCGGTCTGGGGAGGGTAGAGTGTACGCATACCTTACCCCTACTCTGTGAAGGTAGAGAGAAAGTTTTGTTAGACCTATAGAAAACAACATTGAGCCACATTATAATTGTGCCATCCTGAAGATAGTTTAGTTTTTTCTCTAAGTTCTACTCTTCTGATATAAACAATATCTGTTTTCACAAGTCAATATTTTATGAATGTCGCAAATGGTTTTGCTCCTCCCTAAGTTCTTTTACTACTATCTAAGACTTGTATAAGTGGTCATTGGTTGTGTAAGATTATGTGAACTGTCAAACTCAAATATAAGCATGTTAGAAGACTTATGGGCCTTTCTTTTAGCATGCTTATCTTTAAGTTTGGTAGTGCACTTTATCCGATGCAACCAATTGGGTGCTTATTTAACGATCTTTTATCATCTGATGCAATCATAGAGCTTATCCCTTCATGTGTATGCACATGCGTGTAGCAGTATATGGTACATACATCTTAAGTTCTTTCCATGTGAAAGATAATTTAGACTCTCTTTGTCAGGCACACACGTGTATTGAGGAGCCTCTTAACTCCAAATCATCACCAGAACATGCTCCAATCTGCTCTTCCACTATTTATGCAGATCCTCCTATGTAGTGCTTGAATGTGTTATTTTATGCTTATATTGATTTGAATACTGTGTCTGAGTTAGAAGAAGGGCTTTATGTAAAAGTAGAAATGCATGTAACAGGTATTCACAGCTGAGTATCCTCTAATATGTAAAATCTTGGGGTACAAAAAGCCTTATATCAGCTTCATGGATGGCATTACAATGGGCTTTGGAATTGGTTTATCTGGTCATGGTCGTTACAAGCTTATCACAGAGGTACTTCTCTACGTCTATGGAAGATTACTCGTTTTTGCAAGTACATCTTAGTTACACTTTTTTTTTGGTTCCAGAGGACTGTTCTAGCGATGCCAGAAAACGGAATTGGGCTGTTTCCAGATGTTGGTTTTTCTTATATAGCAGCACATGGTCCTGGAGAAGGCACAGTTGGTATATTTTCTTCTATTCAGTTGAGTATTTCTTGCTGAGAAAATTTCAAAGACCAATCTTGTTGCATGAAACTTCAGAGAGAAATAAAAGATGGAAACTCCTATAACTGGAGGCATGTTTAGACAGATGGATCTCTCTCATAAGTAATAGCTTAAGTTTTTATTAACAAGATGAGACTATAGGAGTTGACTTGGTAATTGATCTCCCTCATCTAGCATGGAAGATTGCAAAAGGTATTGAAGAATATCTAGGTGCTAAAGCGAGCAAGTGAAGCATGCTCTCATCAGTGTCTGTATGTTATATTGAATGCTAGTGATGGGCTTCCAAAATTTAGAGGTAGGAATTATGACCAACATTTCAGAATATCTGGAAGGTGTCCGAGGTGATTTTCCTGCTTTTATGAATTTCAGGAAGAAAAAACACCTCATACCAGTTCATGCATTTCAGCTTGGTGTTTATAAGCACATCCCTTTTATGCATTGGGAAGTTATTATTTCTTTTGCATCAAAAAATTGAAAATTTAATTACTTATTATCTTTTTAATTTCGTTTAGTCCTAAAGCACCTTCTAGAAGCTGAATGACCATTTTCTCTTTATTGGCACTTAGGCTTGCCCGTCTCTTCATTGGTAATTGGACAGACAAATGCAATTTGAATCGAAGTCAGAATAAATACCGCCGTGTTGGGGTACTGAGGCATAGTTGTTGTATCTTGTTGGAGGGAGAAAGCGGTGAAAATGATATATGTGTGGTTCATAGAACTATCTTCCCACTCCTTCCCTATGTGTTTGCTTAATCAATTAAGCAATTGCAGGTGCTTATCTTGCACTTACTGGAAATAGGATATCAACACCTGCTGATGCACTCTATGTTGGTCTGGGAACTCATTATGTCCCTTCTGCAAATTTGAGTACGTTGAAGGAAGCTTTGCTTGCAACTAAATTGTATGTCTCAAAATCTTGCACTATTCTCTAGTGCACTAATTGTCAAATTTTTGACTAATTACTCGTATCCATGAGACGTGAACAGCTCCTTGGCCTTTGAGTCCCTTTATCTTATTTATGCTGCTCGAATAAAAGATATTTTTGCACTTTATAGTGCTTGTAAAGACCTTTGATGTTGACATACCTTGAGTTGTGTCTTTTCTCTTCAAATCCATGTTTTGCCTTGGAGGAAGAGATTCCCCAAATTGAGTAAACTTCTTGGCCCAATGTTTCAAGCTTTTTTAGTGCTTCTATTGTTGGACCCTAATCATCATTTCATGAGGCACATCTGGTATAGAGCATTCTTTCTCAGATGCTTCAGATCATTGTTTCTTATGCCTTCTGATAAATGTGTATTGTGCTACTGATACAAGTCCTTTCAGTTACATGTTGCAACTTTAAAATAGGTTATTCTGTCTTCTTAAAACAGCTCTGAGGATCCAGATGAGGAGATAAAAGAATTGTTGGCAAAATACAGTAGCAATCCTGATTCAGAACCCCGTTTGAAGTCACTTTTACCCAGAATAATTTCTACTTTTGCTGGTAACAAGTCCATTAGAGAGATAATAGAGGAGCTAGAAAATCATCAGCAAAGTGCTGATACATTGGGTAAGGTTTTACAAATAAGACTTTTCTCATAGATGAATTCATGTTCTCTCTATTTTATACTATTTTTTCTCCATAAATGTCCTGTATCTTATTTTCCTATCAATGAGTAAACTTTAGAGCCATGCTTTATTTTCATTTTTCATGTGTGAGTTCATCTTCTTGACATCTTCTTGACATCTTCTTGACAGTGGTAGAATGGGCCAAGGATGCTCTGCAAGGGCTCAGAAAGGGGGCCCCTTTCTCTCTCTGTCTCACCCAAAAGCTTTTTTCTAGAGTTGCATCTGCACGCGGTAAAAATGAGAATGACTTGTCCAGTGTGAGCTTCTCTCTAAGTTGTGTAGTTTTCCTACATCTTTTATATTGATTCTTTCCTTTTCACGAACGTTATAATCTCCCTTTTCTGTCGTTCCCAGCTCAATGGTGTCATGAGAACTGAATATCGCATTGCTATAAGGTCTGCTCTACGGAGCGACTTTGCCGAAGGTGTCCGAGCAGTCTTAGTGGAAAAGGATCAGGTTTGTTTCTTGCGTTGCAAGCCCATGATACTGTAACTGCATAAATGTTGGGTTTGTGGTTTCTTTAGTGTAGTGCATTTCTGGTAAGGAATTTCGACTGAGCTTAGTTGAGGCGTGATTTCGTCTTCTTAAGATTGAATAAAGTTCCTGGTTTATTTATTCTTCTTTTCCCAATAATGCAGCTTGATTGTCCTGTTAGACCCACCATATTGTATTGTCGATAGAGACGACTTACAACGTGCAGGAAACTAAAACCTTTGATGATTTTTGTTTTCAGAGTCCAAAGTGGAATCCGTCTTGCTTGGAGGATGTTAACCTTAGTGAGGTGGAAGCTCTTTTTGAACCTTTGAGCCCGGAAGTTGGAGAACTGAATGTCTAAGTGTGCCTGGATATCCTGCATTTTTCCAGCAGTTAGGGTTGATAAATACTCCTCTGTTGGTCAATCGTAAAACATGCTTCCGTGTCTAATCCCAAATGATGCCTGTTCAGATGTTGACATTATCTCTTAAATGTGATTTATGAGGAAATAAAGTGCAGTTGGTGTGAGGACTCCATTCTATTTCTTAAGGTCGTTAATCCCAAATAATGCACAACTGGTTGCTCGTCTCAAGAGGATTCGCATAAATGTGCCAGCAAACATATACATAATATAAATTTTTCGATGAAGTACTTTCACTCCTGGACTTATGCAAAATCCGGAAGCCATATATATATTAATAAACTAGCAAGGGTAGCTGGGCACTTGAATCTATATCCAGTTTTGGGATCATTATTAAAGTTATATCAACTTTTCACAAAAAAATTTGCAAGTCTTACACACTTTAGGATCAACTTTAGATTTATCGGGTTTGAAGTTGAAGAAATGTTTTTAACTTGAAGTGCAGTGCACATAAGGCCAATTAAGTAAAGTGCAAAAATTGTGCTTGAGATGCATTTAAAGCCAAATAGGTCCGAAGTGAAAAGATTGCACTTAACATGCACTTAAGGACAAATAGGTATCAAGTGCAACCAAAGTTTTCATGCATTTAAAGCCAAATAGGTTTGAAATGCAACTAATGTTTTCATGCATTTAAGGCCAAATAGATTTGAAGTGCAAATTGTCCAGAAATAGAAACTTGTTCTTTGAATTTCAACAATCCAAAGTACGATTTAATAACTAAAACTACTCCAAATGAGCTCAAATTTAAAACATAACCTCCAATTTGTCAAAATCAACGAAATCGGATTTCGATATTTCTGGGACAACTCTTTTCTGAGAGGGTAGAGAATTGGAATTGAAAGAGTTGTCACTTAACGTATTAAGGTGCGTTAGGGCATCTAGAGCAGATAACTCATATAACTAGTTTACATCACCAGAGATCGGGTAAGAGCTCGAAATTACCTCGAGGGGAAGGTGTTATGCACCCCTCAAGATCCACAACGGTGGGTCCTGGCCGAACATAAATTAAGCGAATTAGTCTAAAAAGGAGAGAAAGCAATTGGGACATATACAATATTTAATTTATTTTACACAGGGTATAGGGGGTGATCCTAAGTTTTTTTAGCCTATAGGATCATTCCATGCAATACTTTATAACTCACTCAAGTCGCGGTGTTACTCATATCATTAGCGCACGGGATCTCCTTTATTACCCAATTACTATCTTTAAGTTGTTACTTAAGCGTACTAGTTGATTCTAAACCGTTCCTTATGCGTGCACTACCCGTCACTTACCTATGACCCTGGAGGTATTAGGACCTCTATTTAGGATATAGTTCTAGATCAACCTATATTGCTTAATATGAAATCTAGGCGACAAACAAAACAAGTAGGACTTTCAAATAAAGAATAAGTACGGGCTCACATTGACCTCCACACAGGCAACAAAAGCATGCAATTGGATCAACAAACTTTATCAACTTTGGAATCCTATAGGCAGGATATCTATGTGAGAAAACAGAGTGTAAAGGCAGTTTTATTGAGGACAACATTAAGACCTATTTGTTTGCCTACTGATTTTGTTCAGCATGAATCGGGGCACTTCAGGCAGTAACATGTCACAATTATAAACCCAGAATCGTTATTAAAGCCTACAGATACGTTGCCTAAGTGATTAACAAGAGCGATTGAATTTAGAATCGATTATCAAAATCCTATAGGCATGATTTTTACGAACTTATTAATTAAAGACCTATAGACAGGATTTCTGGGTGTAGTACTGATTTTAGCTCGTAAAAAGATAGATTTTATTTTCCTATAGGCATGCTTTCTAATTGGAGAATTGATTTAAATCTTATAGGCATGATATCTGTTGATTTAAACCCTGTAGGCATGATTTCTAGGTTTGATATTGATTTACATCCTATAGGCATGATATCTATTAATTGTGTACGGGCAGAAATGAAACAAATTGTCACGAAGGATAGTTAATTCAAACAACCAGATCCTATAGGATAATTGCTAATGCACATTTGTTGAAAACATGTATGGACCCTATGAGCAGGATTTTCTAATGTACAGAAGTGAACAAAAGTCCTATAAGCAGGATCTCTAGTATGCAAATATAAGATGCAGAATTGAAACGATCATGAAAGTCCTATAGGCAGGATTTCTGATCACGCCTAACTATGCTTTATAAAAGGACAATGCGGACGTTGCAAATATAACCTGAGTATTTATGCCTAGAGTCGAATCCACAGAGAATTAACCTATCAATTATATTCGTTGGACTTACTAAATTCTTTAGAATCAACATCCCCAAACGTTGTGNAATGACTACAATAAGAATTTTTGTACTTCTTTCAATTGTAATTGATAACACCGTTAATTCCCCGGCAACGACGCCAAAATTTGATCACGCCCAACTATGCTTTATAAAAGGACAATGCGGACGTTGCAAATATAACCTGAGTATTTATGCCTAGAGTCGAATCCACAGAGAATTAACCTATCAATTATATTCGTTGGACTTACTAAATTCTTTAGAATCAACATCCCCAAACGTTGTGAATAACAGTTTATGGTATATTTAATAACTAAGATTGAAAGTCAATAAACAGTTGTAAACTAAATATGCTTAAGTTGTGAACAATAATAAGAAGGTTCTAAGGTAGTGATTTTCCCTATTGATGGAATCTCTTCTGTTTATGTTTCATATAGATTTACCAAGATATCTCTATCAATCATGAACACTCTTTTTACCGTGAATCTCTCCCGAGTAATCACGATAATTTACTAGACGCACTCTCCCGAGATACGCTAGCTGGATTTGTTTATTACAGTTCACTTTAGATTGCACCCAAGACTTCGTTATCCCTAATCCCACCTTTAAACCTGCAGTTATAGATCCCTCTTATACTTTGGGAGTGGTGTTGTTCAACAATCACCTTAATATGCACTCTCTCCCGAGTTATGCACACTAATTAGGCACAGCTAATTGAGGATCCTGTCAATTAACTACAACAAACACGTAGTTGAACAAATAGAGATTAAACTGGCAAACTATATTAACATAATCAATAAGTTCATCCTTCAATAGGTTCCATCAAAACCCTAGACAAAGGATTGATCTACTCATGACAATAGGTAAATCACTACTACAAAAATCAGGGTTTAGCGACAGACAAATTCTGTACCTAAATAGAAAAATTCGTCGCTAATCTCATTTAGCGACGAATTATCAAAAGATTCTACTAGCTACGAGCGTTTAGCGACAAATTAGCGACGACGTTCGGAGCTAATTCCAGTATTTTTTGTCGTGAATAAACTATGAAAATATTCATGATCAAAATTGCCAGAAAAATAAAGAGAAGAAGAAAATATGATGTTTTGGGTGATCTCTCACACTTGTTTTTCTTGCCAAAGTACTCTAAAAACATTACATGCCTCCCTTGGACGAGTTCTATTGTTTAATATAGGGTTTTGGGCTAAAAATCCCGTGTTTTGCACTTCAGTCCCTCAAGTTTTTGCTTCCTATCGCGGTCCTACCGCGGTTACGCTAGGACCGCGGCCAACTAGCCTCTTAGAATCCGCAACAGCCTTCTGCCGCGGTCTGACCGCGGTTACGCCGGGACCACGGCAGTCCATCTCCAGTTCTGGTTTTGCTGCCTTCGCGTGGTGCACTTAGCGGATATTGTAGGATTGGCCTCTTTTTCTCCGTAATTGATCCCAAAAGTACTCCATAGACTTCTTTTATTGTATATAGCCTGTAAAGCATGAAAAGCACTAATCAGAGCATTTTGTCATTACTTTTTATCATAAAAACTATACAAGAAGGTGGTTCTTTAGGGCCTAATTATAGTCCAATTCACCTATTATCAACACCCCACACTTAAATCTTTGCTTGTCCTCGAGCAAGCTGAACCACACTTCTAGGCCTAATCGTTCGATGCATTACCCAGTTTATGTCACACCTGCTATTATGAAAGAACAACCTAAGCAGTGCAACAACCACACCTCAGATGAAGACTCTAATGCCATGCCACATTCGTGCTTACTCTAGTTACTCTAAACAGAGGTGAAAACTTGCTTTTTCTTCCTGAGTCACATGCCCTCACATCACATTTCTGAGAGAAGTTCCACACACATAAAATCAAGCAACAAGGAACTATAGATAGAACGAATCCACTCACTCTCAGCAAAGAACATTCACATGCCACACAGATACACCATAAGCTTGCCCTTAGTGTAATACTCTACTAATCGAGTTGTTCAGTCCAAGATCAAGAGGTCTTTATTTGGTTATAATGTAGGCTAAGGGATGGGTAGGATATATTTGGATATAGTGACTAACCTCCCTAAGCACTTTTAATGCAATCGTTCCCTTTATTCCAATTTCCATGTTCAACCCAATCATTCTTCCACACTTGTTTCATAGGCTACCCCCACTTTTTTTTTTGGTTGACCACTAGGCAAGAGCCTAGGGCTAGTTTTTATATATATAATTCAAAAATCCAAATTTAAATACAAAATCGGGAGGTCTTAGACGATGAAAGAAATAAACATTGTTGATTACATAGATCCTATTACCAAAATTGAGCAATGAACTCAAAATTGATATTATATTATGCATACTAAACTTTGTAATTATTAAAAGTAGCCCAAGTGAGTCCATGTCCACGTTGTATCTCCAGTCCATAACATCCCAACCCATGTCCATGTTGCATGTCCAAATTTCTTCAGCCCAATTCCAGTACATAAATTGTTTGCATGCATATCTGACGTCCAGCTTTCCAAATGTAACCCTATTTCCTTGTTCATTCCCGCATATTAAACATACCAAAAATTGGTCATGATGCCTCCAAACGGCCATGACCATACTTCTGTGTATGTTTTGAACCAGGTGTGCATTAAACAAGGATAATTTAATTCCCATTGTTTCATTTACCAAGGAGAATGCTTGGAATTTAAAAATCTTCCTTGGATAGACAATCACGTGAGCTTTCTTTGCCAATTTTAAAAGCATTAGCTCCTCCTTCCAATGTCCATTGGTATAGTCGATGCAGTACACTTTCTTTATTGTAACCATTGTTAAATTGTTGGCATTTACACCCACGCTTTATCCTTGAGTTCT